CTCAGCCAATCACCGTCCTCGACAATTGAATGCGTTTAATGCCTCCTCATTAGCCAGAAAAACACAGTTTAATGCTCATTTAGCATCAAACCATTAAAAATTATTTAACACAGAAATTAAGGATGTCATCAGGGGACTCCAGACACAATAACCTCTTCAGTGAGATGAAGCAGATACAGTGTCCCTTTAATAAGCACTAACTTGGTTCCCAAAAGAATGTGGGTTATGTGCAAAAAAAGAATATTTTTGTGAATTAACAAATGAACTGAAGCATTTTAGGCTGTCCAAATGGGTTATAAAAATTGTGGATTCAAAAAATGTTTTCATTGATACCTGTACTACGTTAACTTATTTACTCCTGTTTCTTTTATCATGTCATTACTCTCCATGGTCACTGTCTGTTGTTCCATACAATGTTCTTTGTGAAGGTAATCGTGGAAGGTTACATTGACTAGTTCAACTTCAATTACAGTGAAATTGTTCATTATCAGGTTCTATACCCATCAGTATTCAGTTATTTCCTATTATTTTTTAAAAAGCAACCTGCCTTCTTAGACATTGTTACATTCGACTGTTTCTAGTAAACAGTACTCATAATGTGTTTTTTTTCCTGTGTACCACAATCTCTGTCTCTCGACTCTCATTGGTATGCTGTCTCTGCCTCTTTTTATATCTTTGAAGGTTATCCAGACCGTGAGAGTAAAAGACGCAGACAGTGAGAGTGGCCTGTTCTCTTTTCAAAGCCCTGGAACTCTCTCTGATGCAAACTTCACAGTTGAAGATAACAAAGGTGACATCTGTACCAATCTTTCCATTATTATCTTTATTGATTTCACTCTGTCTATTTTAATTGACCTGCTAAGCTCCACTTGTCACTAAATGTATTTTTTTCTCATTGTGATTTTTCTTTTTCGCCATATGATTTAACACGTCACCCACATGTTTTCCCACTGCAGCAAGTAACTGCAATTGAACATCTTCTCTTTCTGTCACTCTAATAGATGGAAGTGCATCTCTCCTGGTAAGACACAGTGGTTTCTGGAAGTCTCAGAAAGATATCTTCCTGGTGCCAATAGAGATTAAGGATGGTGGAGATCCACCTCTCACCAGCACCGACACACTAACAGTCTCTCTGTGCCACTGTGAGACAAGCGGGGCCATCCTGACCTGCCATATGACCACAGGATCAGCAGCTGGACTCAGTACTCCTGCTCTCCTGGCCATCTTAGCATGTGCACTTAGCCTACTGGGTAATATTTCTTCTTCTTTTTTTTTTTTAAGCAATTTTTATACTAGCACAGTTTTCATATAACCTCAAATGAAAATCATATATAAATAATAAAGCATTCAAGTACTAATTAACAAAAAGAAGCAGTTAAAACAGATTAGGATGTACGTAGGTTTTACTAAACCAAAGTAAAAATGTTGTGTAGCTAGACTGATCCCCAACGACCATAAATGGAAACAGGTGATCAAGTTCAAAAATTGTGTAAAAAGCAATGGTTTTACTTCAATTCACTGTTCAAATAGTACAGTGAAACAGGGCTCGAAGGCCATAACGAAAGTAGAGGGTAGCATGAAAGAGAGACTGGGAAAACAGGAAAATCAAATGGGGGGCTATACAGGGATAAGTGAGATGCTCAGTCTGCCCGCCGAATTCCAGTTACCCATCCCACACCATGTGGAAAGCTGAGCCATATACTGAAACCATGGTGAACATATAAAAACATACTTATCTTCTAAACCAGCCTAGCAGAGAGCACCCCATTGTCATTAATTCCTCTACTTTTACTATCCTTTTACATTGGTGCACTAGTGCTTTTCCAGGGGACCAGAACTGCTGACTTAGCAGTATTTAATATGAATGTTTGGTAAGAAATGTCTTATATAATGATATCAGAAACCTTAGTGCGGTGTAGAAGGATCTCTGCCGATGTGAAAAGGAGTGACAACCCACTATTGCAGCAAAAGCCTTGTGAATTTATTTGCAATAAGCAAGAATCCCCACATGCTCCCACCAAATGTATAGCAGTGGTTTTACTTTTGAGTCTCATTCACAATACGTATTCATGTAGTCCTGGTATGTTATGAATAGTTTGAGACATGGAATCAGCTCAACATCAGTCTGAATTTTGTTTCCTGTATTTTAGATCACATTATGCTCTGGTAGTTTATAATTAATACTTGGAGCACTGGGACAATTTTACTGAGAACAGGGGGTCTAATAATTGATACAATGTTAATATACCTCTGTCTGGTGTCTCCTCTGCACAACACAGTCTTTCACAATTCCTTGGACTGGGGTAGGAAGCCGTCGGCACTCCAGATGTTGTGGACCACATCTCCTATAATGCTCTTACAGCCATAATGCTAGAAAAGCAGGGGAAATGTAGTCCACGACATCTGGAGTGCCAAAGGTTGTCAACCCCTGTCCCATGGTGTCTTTTTAGTTTCTCTCTGTGTGGGATGGTCATTGATGGACCTGCTTATATTGCACGTCTGGAGGCTTCCTCTGGTCAAAAATCAAATCTATAGGGTTCATTGCAAAATCTAAATGTTTGCCTAGTCTCTACTGTGAAATCAGGCTGATGGAGATGGAGGAAGAGAGAAGAAGAATCATATTTTATTTTATATTGACCTAATTCCTTTCCTGATTTTCTATCCCCTCTTTCCTATATCCCTCCCCAGCCTTGGTGTCCCTGTTCTCTTTGCAGCGTAGACATAAGCCTTCACCTCTGTCTCTCTGTGAAGATGAGGATGTGAGAGAGAATATTATTACATATGATGATGAAGGCGGTGGAGAACAAGATACTCAGGCATTTGACATGTCTGCTTTGCAGCCTCCACAGACTGGTCTTTCAGGGGGCTTCTTCCATCCTCCTCGAATGGACGTTCTTCCCCGGGTTCCACATCACCCTGTACCACACTCCCCCCAACCTGCCCCGGTTGATGTGCAGAGGTTTCTTGCACTTCGCCTTCGAGAGGCAGAGAAAGATCCCACTGCACCTCCCTATGATTCCATACAAGTGTATGGATTCGAGGGAGGTGGCTCTTCTGCTGGGTCTCTCAGTTCACTGACCAGTAGTTCTGGGTGTACAGTGGAAGAAGAACCAGGGGGAGAGGACATTTGGGAGTGGGGTCCCCACTTCAGGACACTGGCAGAAATTTATGGAGTGAGAGGAAGGAATACTTCTGAAGAGACTGAAAATTAAATTCCTCTGTTGGAGGAATGAGTGTTTTAATGATCTCATCACTGTCAGAAAACTGTCCAAGTCCTTCTCTTCCAGAAAATTCAAAAAAGCTGTGATTCATCTTGTTTTCATATCAACCAGAGAAAGGCCTGCAAGATAACTTGTTAAAAGTTCCTACGGATGTTGTGCTGTTACGAGTTATAATAAATTCTTACAGTCTTCCCACCGCTCACTGCGGGTGTCTGACACAATCGAGATATTGTCATTTATGGAGAGCAAACATTTTATTTTCTAAATAAAAAAAACAAGCAAAGCAAAATGTGTGTGAAAATCTTTTGTATGTGTTTTGGATATACAGGGTAAACTGATGTGTATGTGTACATCCATATTATTAGCCATTTAGCATTGCTAGGTTATAATGTAGGAAACCTTATATGTTCTTGTTATGATCTAAGTATATTAAAGGTGCACTCCAAGCACCATAACCACTACAGTTCTTGTGCAGTGTGATGTATGAAAATATTGAAGAGTGTGGATACACCTGCCCATTTGATCATTTCTCCCTCTAAGAAATAAGTGCTTTCTCTTATCTGAAAATTTCCAGAATGATGCCGTATCCCTCGCCCACTAATACTGCACCGCAATATGGCAATATGTAGAGCAGTAAATGCTCATTTTAAAGCTTGGGTATGCCTCTTCAGAAAGAGAATGTGAGGCTCGTGGAGACTTGTTATAATATTTCAGTGCTGTTGTAATAGTGAACACAGATAAAGTGTGAATATCACCCTTGGTTTTCTATAAGCATTTTTAAGCTATTTTTTCATTGTATATTGTGGGTATTTCAAACTTGCATACTTTGGAAATGATTTAATAGGGTGCATTAATATGCAATATTCTTATAAAAAACAGAAAGTAAGGAATGGCTAGTTAGAAATAAATAAAATATCAATGTGTTTTTTTTGTTTTTTAAAATGTTAGATTAGTAAGCGGAGTAGAATACCCCTTTAATGTCATTAAATGCAAGCTTGGACTCTCTCCCAGACAGGTCAGGAGAATGTGTACAAATTCTGCAGTTTAAACTCTCACAAATGACTTGGGCTTGTAATAGTAACTTGTGCTCAAAATTATACATATACTTTCAAATTTCACTATGATCATTGCCATCTTCTTTATGCACACTCTCTGGCGACAAGAAAACAGAGGCATTAGAACACCTACAATAGCTCTGTTCAGGGAACTTCACGAGTCACTAATGAATCACTCAGCTTTCCTCTGAGTGACTCTGGGTAGTAGTGGAACAAGCCTGTTTGTACCCTTAAGCACAACAAAATAAATAATTTTAAAATAAAAAACTGAATTATACCAAACTGAAATGCAAATTGTACATTTTATGCCAAAATAGGCATACTGTAACTTATAGATGAGTTGTAGAATCTCTCCAAATTAGTTTTTTGCCCAGTTTTGTAATATTTTTCTAAACAGAAGGACATGGTGATTATACAACTGACTGGGAAAATGTAAGAAAAAAATGAGAGCAAAAAAAGAAAATAAAAAATCCAGCTATTTTGACTTGCATTTTCAATGTTTATTAATAGCTCAGTATTGGCAATTCTTTAGTGACCCGACCGATTGGTTTTTATTATATTTTGACCAATTTGGTTTTTTTTTATGTAAACTTTCCTTGGGGTTAAATCACAAATATGAGAAGTTTTGAACACTGACAAAATACTAATTTAGGACAAAATAAATTAGCAAAAAAAAAAAAAATAGCTGTGTTGGAGATTTTTAATTTTGAAAACAAATATTTCCGATCAATACTAAGGCCTAAAATTTGCAAATATTTTGTCAATTCTCCAAATCTCCAGATTTGGAACATTGCTTGTAGGATCCTACAAATATAATGCCTGAAAAATAGCAATCATGAATGAGATGGTTTACTAGTCACCCATGAAGTGATAACAATGTTCTCTTATAACCTCTTTTAATAAAAATCCGTAAAGAAACGAATATCCCACTAAATTTGCTTTTTGCCTACCTTTAAATTGTCTTATATATAGCTCACATGTCAGATACGATTATTTTATATAGTATAGCACAGTGGAATTAAAATCCCACTTCCCTGTTAATGAGATCTGCATTATTTTTCAGGCAAATAAACCATACAAAATATTATAAAGACTACTTTATTTTTCTCAAAACAACATTTTGTGGCCATTCCTAACCCCCCACCAGACTAGGGATTAGCATGATGCTCCTTTCATTTTCTTGCTTCCATTTATTGCTTTTCCTCTTGAATCAGTCTCTTATACATCTCTACTAGATCCTCCCTGGCATCCTTCTCACACCCACTTTCTTTTACCATGTATACATCAACAAAACCCCCAGAGTATGCATCTCTTCTCCCTGCATGGCATACTGCTCGCCTTGCTAGCTGACGAGCCTCTTCCTCTTCCATGCCTGGTCTGTATCCATCGTCAATAATGCTGTAAGCGTAAGGAGACCCTGATCCCACAGAGATGACATCAGAGCTGATACGGGTTCCATCGTTGTATACATAACAAATGCAAGGTCCATTCCGATCCCAACCAGACAGAGTTACAGCAGCACAGATATCCATGCCACGAAATGGCAACATCATCGTACTCAACATTTTAGCTGCCCCTTTCACACTGGGCATATATCCATTCCGCAGCTGGTAGAGGCGACACTCCCTTGCAAGAACTCGTCCAAAGAACTGGCAATCAGCAGCGCTCCCAGATGTAGAGGCAATTAGATGACTATGTATGAGAGTAGCTTTGCGGCTGTCTGGGCTGCAAACAAGTTTTCCAGCTGAAGAGCGTGAGTCAGTTGCAACCATTACCCCTTTATCGTAGAGAAAAGCCAAGGTGGTAGTGCCATGTGCTGGTGGTGGAGGACCAGAGGGGTTGCGATGTGACGATGTCACTTTGTAGGGAGGCAGAAGTAGACGAGGGTAACCTGAAGAATTCAAATGAGGTAATCTGCAGAAGTCACGCTGCAGAATTTGTCTTGAGGGGGTCACATCCCAGCCACAGACGCTCTGTAAAGCCATGGAATCGAGAATTATCTTGATGCAATTATTGGTCTGGTGTATGCCACTTTTAGATAGCTTGCTCTGTATGAATTAGGATGCTGGAAACATCATCAAGTTTATATCAGAATTTGTGTGGGGCCCAGATGAGGTCCGGACAGTCCATGGATATTTAGCGGTGTTATATGACCAGAATGCAAACAGTGATTTCTGCCTGGACAAGTTCCTTTCCCATTACTAGGATGCAAGTTTGACCTCCTATGTTATAAGATACTTGGGCAGACGCTGTTATGTGCGTGTACAATGGAAATGTAGATGATAAATGATTTGCGAAGCAGCTTTATAATGCTAATAATGTTAACACTATACTATTTGCAATACTGCCAAAACATTTAAGATTATTACAGCATTCAATCATATATAGTTTTATTCAATAAATTATGGACTGCAGCACATTGGCAAAGACATTTAGGTGAAAAGGGCCAAACAAAATGGATTTTATATATATATATATATATATATATATATATTTATTAATTTTTTCATGATTTTTTTTATTTTACGACAGGAGACAGGCATTGAAATATTACAATACTATAGGTCCCCTGCCACCTTTGATTACTTTTCTGGTATAATCAAGATTCCATTTAGTAAACCGATCATTGTTTTTGGAGTCTACCATCCACCTAGCTTTCCAGTACATTCCCTTTCTGACATAGCCCAACTCCTTAGTGAAACTGCAACTTAGAACCAAAAAAAGTGAACTGTTGGATTAAGGAGATTTTAAAACTGATTGGTTGAATCCTAAAAATAATAAATCATGTTCGCTGTTTAAGTCTTTGCAGCGAACGCAATTAATTACCTCCCCAACTAGCATTAATTTGAACAGCCATAACCATACCTTGCTGGATTGGATCCTCTCAAGTTCTTCTGACAGAATCCAGGAGGCGGGCATTCTCCCTAACAGTTTCAGTGACCACTGCCTAGTGTATTGTGTGAGAAAAATAAAAGCCATTAAATCCTCTCCCAATGTTATAATCCCCAGGTCTTTTAAAAAATTAAATCTAGAATACTTTTTAAATGATCTCCCTCATACCATCACCCCCTCTCCCTCTCACCATCACCCTCCCCTCCCTCACCATCACCCTCCCTCTCACCGACACCCTCCCCTCCCTCTCACCATCACCTTTCCCTCCCTCTCACCATCACCTACTCACACCATCACCATCACCTACTCACACCATCACCTACTCACACACAGGATCATCCCCCACACACACAGCCTGCCCAGACACACTGTTAGCATCCCCTCACACTGTCACCACTCCCTACACTGTCGTCACCCCCCCCCACACTGTCAGCCTCTTCATGCATCCACACTAACATCAACAACTCCTAATCATGTTACTCTCACCCCCTCCAAACTCAGCTGCCTTCACTCTGCCATACTCACCCTGTCACATTAACCCCCTTTAATCCTGTCACACTCATCCCTCCTTCCATGCCTCCATTTACATTTACCTTCACTCACCCTGTCACACTCCCTCATCAAACCTCTATCTCTCTCACCCCCCATTTACCCCATCCAAGTTCTTACAGTCTTTCGGTATGCGATTGACTCCATGGGAAGGCTATCTGGGTTAAGTCCTTTCGTGTGTTTCAAAACTCCCGAACGGCCGGTGTTCGTACGCTTTCATCGAGGCAGCCAGGCGACCCGTTGTTTCAGCGGTGTTCGGCAGAAAAAGTGTCCGTTTTTAGTTCCATGGAATCAGTGCCAAACACCGCTGGGCTTTCGTGCATTTTAAAATGGCCGCTGCCTCGTGGTCGACGTACGAACGACGGCCACCCTAAATTCGGTTTAATTGAGAAGTGTCTGCGGTTAACTACAACGTTCCAATTGGGATCAAGAGGTCAACCAGCAGCACACTTCTTCTTCTGGGTGGCCATCCGTTCGGTGAATTTGTTCGGTGAAAACAGTCATTCGTATGGCTGGGCTATAGAAACAGCCATTTACACGAACGGGGGCAGGAATAGACGAATCCACCACAATAAGCAGACAGATGGTTTTGTCACATGGCTCCCTCCTTGTGGGACACTCCAGCAGACCCGGCTTGACCCTTTGGCGGGTCAACTTGGGGATGACCGGAGTAGGAGGTGGTGGAGTCGGGATAACCCATCTGCGTTCCCGCTCTGCTTACCGGGTCGGTAGCTGATAATGAAGTTGTAGGGCTGTAGTGCCAAGCTCCATCTCAGCATTCTACCATTGTCCCCTGAGACCCGGTTAAGCCAGACAAGTGGGTTATGATCAGTCACCAGGGAAAACTCTTGCCCATACAAGTAGGGACTTAACTTTTTCAATGCCCAGACCAAGGCCAAACACTCCTTCTCCACTGCCGCATAACTCACTTCTCTGGGTAACAACTTTCGGCTGAGATATGCGACAGGGTGCTCTCCTCCATCTTCCCTGACTTGGCTCAGCACAGCCCCCAGTCCATATATGGAAGCATCTGTATGGACGAGAAAGTGTTTGTTAGGGACTGGGGCAGCCAAGACAGGGGCATTCACAAGAGCCTGTTTCAGTGCCTGGAACGCAGCTTCACAAGCTGGAGACCACAGGACCTGCTTAGGCAAGTTCTTCATCAGATCTGTCAGAGGTTAAGCAATAGTGCTGTAGTCAGGGACAAAACATCAGTAGTACCCTGCTGTCCCCAAGAAGGCCAATACTTGGGTCTTGGTGGTAGGTGTGGGCTAGTTAGCCACTGCCTCTACCTTGGCTGGCTCTGGTCTCTGGCTCCCACATCCCACTCTGTGACCCAGGTACTGTACTTCAGCCATACCTAGATGGCACTTCTCTGGCTTCAATGTCAGGCCAGCGGCCCGAATCTTATCCAGTACCACCCTTACATGAACCAAGTGTTCCTCCCAGGACCCACTGTAGATCGCAATGTCGTCCAAGTATGCACAGGCAAATTCTTGGAGTCTATCCACCATCCGTTGGAAGGTAGCCGGGGCATTCTTCATCCCAAAAGGCATGATCTTAAATTGGTACAGGCCAAATGGGGCGACGAATGCCGATTTGGGGATAGCATCCTCCGCCAGGGGGATCTGCCAGTAGCCCTTACACAGGTCTACGGTGGTCAGATAGCGCCCCCTGGCAATACGATCCAGTAATTCGTCTACCCGGGGCATCGGATAGGCGTCAGTGGTGGTCCGCTCGTTGAGTCGCCTGTAGTTCACAGAAACAGGTGGTCCCGTCCTTCTTGGGCACCAGGACTACAGGCGAGGCCCAAGGGCTGTCGGAGTGCTCGATGACCCCAAGCTGGGTCATCTCTTGTATCTCCTTCCGCATTCCTTCTTGGACTGCTTCAGGGATACGATAGGGCGGCTGTCGTAAGGGGGTCTGTCCAGGGGTCTCAACCTTATGTACAGCTAGGGTAGTATAACCTGGCTCCTGGGAGAACGTCACCTGCTTCTCCCACAACAACTGCTGCGCCTGTACCCTTTCTGTGGGGTTTAACAGGCGCAGCTGAACAAGGGTAGTGAGGTCAGTCTGGGAGTCCCTTTCTAACAAGTCGGGAAGGGGTAGATTCTCGGGATCATCTGCAGCCGGGGCACATACTGCCGCAATATTCTCAGGTCTCTCCTGGTACTCTTTCAGCATGTTCACATGAAAGGATCTCTGAACCCTTTCATCTGTACAGCTGGCTATCAAGTAAGTAGTATCGCAGATCTGCGCTACTACTCTGTACGGGCCCTGCCAAGATGCTTGCATCTTGTTTGCCTTCACAGGTTTGAGCACCAATACTTTTTGCCCAACCTGGAAGACCTGCTGTCGGGCACCCTGATCGTACCACCTCTTCTGTCTCCCCTGGGCCGCCTGGAGATTCTCCCTTACCATCAGGGACAGTTTCTCTATGTGGTCCCGGAGTTCCAGAACATATGGCACTATGGGGGTCGCCTCCTGCTCCGTCTCCCCCTCCCAGTGGCCCCGGATGAGATCTAGGGGTCTGCGGACCCTTCTCCCATAGAGCAACTCAAAGGGGGAGAACCCAGTAGATTCCTGGGGCACCTCTCTGTAAGACAACAACAGATGAGGCAGGAACCTCTCCCAGTCTCTGCAAGTGTCTGTAAAGGTCCTCAGCATCTGCTTGAGGGTGCCGTTAAAGCGCTCGCAGAGACTGTTAGTCTGTGGGTGGTAGGGTGAGCTAAGTAACGGTTTAATGCCACACACCTTCCACAGCTGCTGAGTGAGCACAGCGGTGAATTGGGTTCCCTGGTTGGAGAGGATCTCCTTAGGGAACCCGACCCTAGTAAAAATTCTAACCAGGGCATCAGCAACCGTCTCTGCCTCTATATTAGACAGCGCTACTGCCTCTGGATAGCGAGTGGCATAGTCCACCACAGTAAGAACGTATTTCTTACCTGGATGGACTAGCCCTGGCCAGTGGACCCACAATGTCAACAGCTATGCGGGAAAAGGGCTCCCCTATAATAGGCATCGATAATAATCTAGCCTTAGGGTGGTCCCCCCGCTTTCCTACCCGTTGACATGTGTCACACTGCAATACATCCGCACAGCCTGGTTAAAGTTTGGCCAAAAGAAATTCTGTGAGATCCTATAGGCTGTGCGGCAGGACCCTAGATGTCCAGCTAACGGAACATCATGCCCTATCCGCAGAATCTCCTGCCGGTACTTTGCAGGTACCACTAACTGTCGATTCGACGGAGGGGCAACACTCTTCTGGGAAGGCTTAGGAATCCTATATAACCTGTTCCCCACCCACTCATACCGCTCCCCATCTACTGCTTCCTCTCCAGCCTCTGCTCTATCTCGGTATTTCTGGAGAGTCGGGTCCGCCCGGGTTTCCCTCCCAAACTCCTCTGGGGAATCCCAGCTTAAGGGGGCCTGATCTAAGGTGTGGTGTATCACCAAATTAATATATATATTACACAAGGTTCGTCTACATTAAAAGGTATTTATTAAAAGGCAACAACACAATACTATAAATGTATCACAAACACACAGCCCAGACCCACGGAGCAACAACCCTTTTTAAATCTATCTATCTATATAGTAACCCCTTCCACACACGCTTGATCTCACCCACGGTTAGGCCTTCACATCTAGTAATGGCTCACTGCTGCAAGTTCAACATCACATCCACCAAGGAAGAAAAGGAAGCAACAGAGA